TAGAATATGGAAATGCCTTGATTTTTGAGAGGCCAACAGAGTGGAGAGCAGCTGGAAGCCTAGAGGTGGGAAGGGCAGACTGTGCCCATGCTTTCAGACCTACAGTACCCAGGACATTTTCTTCACTTTCTCTTAATTTAGACCTAGAAGTAGCTGGGTGACTTGAGTGGTTCCTGTGGAGGAAAGGAAAAGGAAATGGTATCTGTGAAGCATGTCCCTTTGAGAAGGAGGCATTTGAGTGAAGGAACATCTGGCAAAAGGAATAAGGTTTCAGAACATCTTTCTGATTTCTGAAGGTGGATATGAGCAAAGACACTGCTTTTAGATGCTGCAGTAAGAATAAATAGCAGAGTCCAGGGTGGGTTCTGGTTTGCAACACCCATACATCTTTTGGTCCAACATACATCTTGCTGTGTAAAATGGTGGGCATGGGATAAAGATGGGTTCTAAAGAAGGCAGCAGGTCTCATGGGGGACTGGCAGATAACATAGGATTGCATAGGATGTAAATGTATCTATTAGTCAGGGTTCTCTAAAGAAACAGAACTGGTAGAATGAATATATATATATGTATATCTATATAGAGAGAGATAGATATACATATGCATATCTCAGATTAGTTTACAGGATAGAGTCTGAGTAGTCCAACAATGGCTGCACCACTCTGGAGAGGCTGAGAATCCCGTAGTCGCTCAGTCCACGTGGCTCAGTGTCTCAGTAGTCACAATCTGGAGCTGAAGGTCTGATGAATTCCGAAAGATTGGCTAGGCTTCAGTCTACAGCAGCAAGACAAACTCACCAACAAGAGAGGAGGCAAGCAGCAAAAAGCAAGTGCTCTCCTCAGCCATGGCCTTTTATACTGGCTGCCATCAGAAGGTAACACCCACATTTAGAGTGTGTCTTCCAGCTTCAGATGATCCAATCGAGAAGAGCTCTCTCATTTCAGTTAATCCCAGATCCAGTCAAATTGACCCCCAGGATTAGCCATCACAGTGTATCATGGATCAGAATACAACCCAGAAAACTCTTAAGTTTCCCTACCAGAATTGAAAGCAGAAGAAATCTAGGAGAATCTCAACAAAATGACAGGTCTTTGGTTCCTGAAGAAAAGAGTAGAGAGACAGGCTATATAGTTCCACTGGAAGGCTTATCAGAATCCCTAGGAGTTGAGGCCTAGTCCCCCAACTGCTGCTCTACCTACTGTTCCTCCTAATTTATAGTCAGGTGTATTGTCTGGAGAAGAATTCTCAGGGACAGTGGTAGGTTTTGAGGCAAGGCTAGGTCTTAAGTACCCTAGAGGGAACATAAAGTCTCTCAGGTAAGACAGGCTATTAAAAGGAACTCTGAAATCTGTTATGAAGCACTCATTCAATTCCATTCTCTTAGTTTTTAATCTCTTGGAAAGAAATAAAACAAAAACATTCACCATGGGAAAATGACCTTCAGGCATGCAAAGTTGTAGAGCAGGCCTCAGTGAAGAATGAAAGCCACTATTAAAGAAACTGTGGAGGCAAATATCCAGGAGGAAATATTAGAAGGAGTTGGCCATCTCCTGACTAGGATTTTGGAGCGGATTTGCACAATAGGCTTGTTAATAATATTGATATAATAGATGGAGACACAGATATTATAGAAACATTCATGAAGGAAATAAGAGAGCTAAGGAGAACATTATGGATATTCAGTTGAGGTACTGTGTGTGTGTGTGTGTGTGTGTGTGTGTGTGTGTGTGTGTGTTTTCTTATAGGGGACCCCTCTCATCATGATCATCATGGTAAATTTGTCTTATGCCTTGAATCTTGAGGTTAAAAATTGTAAACTCCCTGTTTGGAAATTTGCAATTTCCTGGTCCATCCTTCATATTGAACCTTTTGGTGTTCTGCTCTTTTCTGACTGGTGACTTAATTTTGACTTAGTCTGTCAGTTCTTCTGTCAACAACTTGCATGGAAAGATATTTTTATATATTGTAAAGTTAAAGCATTTTAAAATTTTAGTTTATAGCTATATTATCTCACAGTGGATATGATCTTATTTCATTGCACACATGTATAAATTTCTCAAGTCAAGAATAAACAAAAATTATAAACCAGAAGAAAACAAAAAGTGCCAATAACTATACTAAATAGAAAATTTGCAATTACATATATATTTCATATATATGTATATAAATAATATTTAGCATATGACTGGTGCAATAGTGGCAGATAAATTTGCAGATAAATGGATGAAACTGGAAAAAAAACGCTGTAACTTCTAAATAGCCTAGAATTTTAAGTCCATAGATTGTTCAATGTTACAGATTTAATATGAAACAAATTATATAAAAGAGCTATTTAAAAATCAAATAGAGGGATTAGAGAAATGGATCAGCAGTTAAGAGAAATTGCTGTTCTTCCAAAGGACCTGAGTTAGGTTCCTAGCACTTATGTCTGGCAGCTTACAATCACCTGTAACTTCAACTTCAGGTACTGTAACACTTTCTTCTGGCCTCTGCAAGAACCAAACACATATGGCCTACACTCACACAGAAACACACACACACACACAAATAAAAGCAAAAAATAAATCTTTCTTTAAATAATAAAATAAAGGCTTTCTATTCCTGTTCTCATGGTGTAGGATCAAGGTGAACAGAGGACTCCATGCAGGAATATTATGTCTGCAAGCTGTGTCTCAATATCTGTGTATGGGAGACTAGAAACTGACTGACCTGGGAAGCTAAAGTGTTAGAGCAGCAGCTCACATTCCAGATTTCTTTGTTTTCCAAAATCAGATATATTTTCAGGCCAGTTCCCATCAGGAGAATTTAAAAGCTTGCTATGACCAAAGGAGAATAATTCTGGGAGAGGGCTCTAAAGGTGCAGAAGTATTCATTAAGAAAAACGAAAACTTCTCGCATATTGGAAATTTTGGTTTTGAAATCCTGGAACACATTGACCTTAGGTTAAAATAAGACCCAATTATGGTATCTATGGCCTGGACCTCTGTGTGATCTTGGAGAGGTCAGGTTTCAACAACACAAACAAGAATCACAGGACAGGCTGCTTTGAGGCTGTAAACAGAATCAGCTAAAGAAGACCATATACTGGTTCCAGCAGAAGTGTGATGGTGTTTTAAGCTTTACAAAATCAAAATAGAGAGAAAACTAAATCTAAAAAAGAAACCTGAGCCTGGCGTCGTAGTGCACACCTTTGATTCCAGTACTTAGGAGGCAGAGGCAGGCAGATCTCTGTGTGTTCATTGTCTGCCTGGTCTACATGGTGAGTTCCAGGCCAGCTGGGGCTACAGTGATACTTTGTCTCAAAGAGACCAAAAATAAATAAATAAATTTGCAAAAAGAAAATATATTAATAGAAAGGTCTTGTAGTTAACCAACCAATCATCAGAGATATTAAGTCTACTGCCTTAAATATGCTCAAAATGATAAAGGAAATCATATACAAAGAACCAAAGGAAAGTGGTGTAATATCCCAAAAAATGTAGAAAATTAATAGACATAACTAAAATGACAGAAATCACAAAAGAGATTCTACAGCCCTCAAACACAGTACCACAATATATTTATACATTAAAATGAAAACTCATTAGAGTGAGACAAAGGCAGGATTGAGGGGGCAGAGAAAAGGATAAGTGAACTTGAACACATTGATCAGCTGAGATTATCCAATCTGAGGAAGAGATAAAAAGTGAGTGTGGAAAAAATGAGCATAGCTCAAGAGACCTGTCCGACACCACCTAGCATATTCATATATGCATAATGAGCTTCAATAGGGAGAAGAGAAACAGAAAAGGACAGAAAAATCATTTGAATCATGACTATTACTCAGACCTAATGGAAGACACTAATCTATGTGTCTAAGAAGTTTGATGATAATCCCAGAGAGATAAAAAATCAAGGCCCATTATATCCATTTTGTCAGAATCATGAAATATAGTACACTGTAGCAACTACAATATTAATAATTTTCTAATTCTTTAGGTTTATATAGTGGTTTCTGAAATTGGAAAGAGCACGAGAAAGAAAGATCATGAAAAAGAATGGTGGCCCACATCTTTAGTTCCAGCACTCAGAAGACAGAGGCAGGCACGTCACTGGGAGTTCAAGTCCAACCAGGATTGTATAGTAAGACCCTGTCTCAAAAAAAAAGAAAGAAAGAAAAGAAAAGAAAGAAAGAACTAAAAAGAGAAAGGTGAAAAAAGATAGAAGAGCAAACAGAAGGTCAATAATAGGAGCCTGTTATGAGCTAACCATTATTATGAAATCGCATGTGAGGTCCACCCTAAAAATATTTTAATGCTTTTTTTTATTAGCTGTCTGACATTCTCCCTTAATGAAAACAGGTCAAATGTTGGAGAATAAGATGCAAGTATGGAGAGAGGCCAAAAGAGATGGAAAGAATTAAGTTACAGAAAACAGTTTGAAATACATACACTCTGAAGTTCTGAAAGGTCACTGAGACAGTGGTACCTAGAAGACAGTTGGCACGGCAGGCTTGAGATGAAGAGAATGGTATGCTGAAGAGTAATCAGTGTTTAGAGGAAAAGGAGTGAGAATGGGATTCAGGGAGAAAGAACATGTGAACTGACCAGTTAGGAGGCTGAAGACAGAATCCCTGGCAACTCCAGCACTCTAATTGGAAGCCCAGCTTCTTGGCAGGCATCAAACCTAGTCTCTGAAGTTGGGAAGAACTGTGGGATTCAGCTGAATACTCTAGTCAATGAGGGTGCTCTCTCTGATCAGGCTGTCACAACTGGTGAGAACGGGCATCTGAGAGGGATCCTCAGAGAGGAGAGCCAGGTAAAGCCAGGTAAAGGAGCCTTCCTGCCTCCTTTCCTGGGTGACTCTGCCACTCTCCTTTTCCCACACTCGTCCTAACAGCGCTACACTTCCCAAATCCTCCAGGATGGGAGGTGGAGGAGAAAGAGAGTGGATTTTAGCTAGGGTGACGCTTTACTCACGTGACTGGCTTGGCGCCCACGTGGGCACCAGCCCCCGCGCCAGCCAGTCCTGTGGCCAGTTCCCGGACTCCACAACCTGCCCGCCCCCACAACTGCGCAGAGCCAGTTCCTTGAGCTGTCTTGGTTTTTCCAATTCTAAAGAGGCTCTGGCCTGTCTCAGGTCTCTCAGGTCAGTATGAGAAAGACTGGCTCTGCCTGCAGAGCTGGGACAGGGATGGAGTTGGTTGGCAGCTGCAACCAGCAGCAGCCAAGAAGAGGGGGAAAGGAAGCAGGGAGATTGGCGAGGAGGGGGCGCAGAGCGGGCGGGGTGCAGAGAGGGACTGAGGAGGACCCCTGCAGCCGGCTTCCTTTGCTCAGCCCACAGCCCCATCCATTTTAGAGCAAGCGAAGTGGAGGGGGCCGCAGTGCGACCGTGAAACGTAGATGCGATAGGGAAGTGATCCTCTCTCACACTCCAGGTTATGATGACAAACTAACCTGGACCAAAAGGAGGGTGGGGGTGGGGCAGGTTGCCTCTGGAGCCCGAGCGGGAAGTAAAACGTACTTCGGTGAGCATCCTGGCTTGGTGCCCAGGGCTTGAAAAGAAATGGCTGCTGGGGTACTGGAGGTGGGGGTTGGGGGAGGCAGGGCTGTTGGAGGAAAATGTTGGCTGATGAGGCTGGGCTTCAGAACAGGTTCTTAGTGCCTGTGCATCAACTGAGCGCCAAGCCTGTGTCCAGTCTGCAGATCTGCACCTCTGCAGTTCCCAGCGGGCTGTGACAACTGGAAAGGAGGAGAGACCTGCCCAGTATCCCAGCAGGTCAGTGGATGGCGGCAGCAATGGTAGGGATGCGGGACATGGGCAGATTAGGGACCCTGCTGCCCTCCTCCATCCCCACCCCCACCCCCCAATCCCACAAAGCTTTCCATACTGAAGGAGCACAGAGAAGGCGGCAGGGACTGCCAGGGCATAGTTGTCTCAAGTGTGCTGGAGGGGTGCAGTCGGAAGGAACATTTGGAAGACCTGGCCAACGTAAGGGTCCCCCGCCCCTCGCAAGGGCCACATACAAATGAACCTGAGGGCCACTCCCACATCTCAGTTTCTAACATGCCTTCTTTGCCTCCCTCTTCCCCATCCTCGCCCACAGGACAGGAAAAGGAGGGAAATCTCGACATGGAAGAACTCCATGGTGAAAAAGAGGGAAAATTGGCAAAGGAGGGAAAGCCAGAAGATGAAGTAGAGCCTGAAGATGAAGAAAAGTCCGACGAGGACGACAAGCCGGACAAGAAAGCGAAGCCAGCACACGAGGGGAAGCTAGAGAATAAGGCAGAGCCAGATGCACAGGGACAACCACGAGATGAGGGGAAATCAGAAAAGCGGGGAAAGTCTGAAGGGGAGGGTCACCGCCAAGGGGAGGGCAAGCCTGATTCCCAGGCAAAGCCAGCCAGTGAGCCAAGGGCCGCAGAAAAGCGTCCTGCTGAAGATTACGTGCCCCGGAAAGCAAAACGAAAAACAGACAGGGGGACAGACGATTCCCCCAAGGACTCTCAGGAGGACAGGCATGTAAGCAGTGAGGAGATGATGAGAGAGTGTGCAGATATGTCAAGGGCTCAGGAAGAGCTGAGGAAAAGGCAGAAAATGGGTGGTTTTCCCTGGATGCAGAGAGATGCACAGGATGCGTTCGCCCCCAGGGGCCAGCGTGGAGTCAGGGGAGCGAGGGGCGGAGGCAGGGGCCAAAGGGGCCTACACGATGTCCCATACCTTTAATGCCTTTGGCCTTCGAGTCTGACTTCTCAGATGAGAATATTGCTGGCCCTGCTTTCCCTGGTAGATACTTGCCAGGCCCTGTGCTTTAACCTTGAGCCGATACTCTGCTTTAGGTGTCACTGTCCTTACCAGCAGCCTTTTGACCCAACTACAGTGCTCTCTGTCTTCTAGTACAGGATTTCACCCATGTGCATGGAAAATATGTTCATGGTATGTTGTAAAAATGAATAAACAAAACAGTTTGCAGAACTACAGATACAGTATCAGCCTATTTCTGTAAAAGGGTAAATATGCTTGTATAATGTATTCGTGCACAGAAAAACCTGTGAAAAGTGTGTTTGCTAAAAAGCTAGCAGTGGTTATTCCTACGAAATGAACATGAATGTCTCACACACACTTAAAAAATGAGTCTGACAACCTGGTCATTGAGAATGGTCATGCCATTCCTCCGCTGTGTGCTCTCCTTGGGTCTTTCCTAACCTTAACAAGTGGGCACTGCTCTCCCTAATCCTGGGTTGGCCATTCAATGGCTTCCCTATGTCCATTTTCAGTTATTGACGTGCTCTCTTTCTCTCATCTTTCTTTACAGGCTCACTCATCTCTCCGTTTTACTAAATAATATGGGCTACATTTTCCATAATAACTTAAAAGCTAAAGTGTGACTATATATAAGTGATTGAACTGTTGCGATGAACTTAAAAAGGCACTAACACTTAAAATTCTTGTTTTTAGAACACAGCACAGGTAAAAGTCACATTACCTCTAGAACACATACCTAGAAGAATCAACCTGTCACTTTAACGGATTCCTTGCTATAAGGGCCAGTCTTGTCATCTTGAAATGGGTCTATTTGCTTCATAAGACTTCCCAGTGGATCAGATGACCTGCTAGTTTTGTTTCCTGCTTCTCAGCCGGAATTCAAGGAAGAATAGTTCCTGCAGCATTCTGGTGCAGTAGCAGGAGCACAGCTGGAATCGGACATGTGAAAGGAGGGTATTGTGGATCTTGTATGTGCCCAGATACAAGTCCAGGCAGCTGAGAGGTAGGTACTAATCTCTCCTGTATATTAGCATGTCTGTTGGGCACTACCCTTCCTCCTGAACCCAGTACTCCTTAGTGATAGAGGCTTTAAGATGCTACACATCTCTCTTGAATCATTAGTGAGCCAATGTTGATCCATCCTTTACCCCTATACAAGTGAATAAAGTCTTATTATCATTTTGGAGTACTGTCATCAGTTACATGTGGGTATCACCGTGTTGCTATTTGGAACATTATATTTATCTTTTAGACTCTATAAGAAAATTATCATCTATGTGTCTTTTATTTGTGTGATTTTACAAACATAAATATTATCTTCACCAAGTTTACATATTGCAGGCTAACCCAGGAAAAACTACAATAGTCGCTATGTTGTCCTCACAGGTTCATATCTTGTCAGCAGATTCCTTTCCTAGGTTGAATTTACTCTTAGAAAACTCTCACAGGACCTCAACATTGCAACTTGGCAGGCTTAGAAATATAATTGTGTTTTAAATCCTTAGTAGTGGTGAAAGGGTTAATATACCTGCTGCATCAGTGTCTCCTGAGAGCTAAGTAAAAGCACAGTAAAAATCTCTAGCTCTGGTTCAGATCTATTGAGTTAGAAACTTCACCCTAACAAAAATCCCAAGGGGATTTGTCTTCGCATTGAAGTTTGAGAGAAACCTACTCAGAGGAGGCTCTTGGGTCTCTCACTGCCGCCTTTACATAAATATATGCACTGTGGAACGTACACATCACAGATTATTACATAGAACGGTGTTGTCAAACTGCAGTTGTTCTTCCCTAATGCAATTTATATTTCAAAATCAATGGTTCAAGACCTACGAAACTTTTATATTTATTTATTATTTTTATTTTATGTATAGCCAACCTAATTTATAAGTTCAGGTTTTTTCAGGTTAAGCAATTTTTGTGCTATCCTATTACTGTATCATTTTTATCAAAGTATTTTATTACGTGTATGACTGCATTGCCTGCATGTACATAAGTGTACCCATGTCGTGCAGTGCCAACAGAGAGCAGGAGAGGGCGTCAGATCCCCTAGGACAGTTGTTAGCTGCCATGTGGGTTCTGGGATTCGAACACACGTCTTCTGCAAGAACAACCAGTGTTCTTAGCCACTGAGCCATCGCTCCAGCCCCAAGACCTACAAAATTTTTTAATTAAATAATATATAATAGATAATAGATAGGCTAAAACAACAAAATAGGAAATAAATATCAAATTGCATCGTAACTAAGTGGGTAAATATTATTTTGTGAGATTTGTGTTTATTTATATATGCATGTGTGTGCACAAGTTGTGATGAAGAAAATTTTTAACTATGGATTTTGATTAAAAATATGGAGAAAGGCTACATTGGGTCCTTTGTGTCATACAGCACAAGTTATTCATTTCATACTCACAGTTCTATCATTTAACAGAGATATTTGACAACTATTAGGCACTTGGTTAAAGTGTAAATAATGGCTAAGTCAGGAACCACAAGTTATTATTCAAGTTTTGCCTCTGTGTTCATCAATAATTGTGAACAAAGGATTTTCTCCTAGGATTTACTTACAGCTTCAAAAGATTTGAGATTCATTGGCTTTTCAGGTTAGATAAAGTGCTTAGTGCATACTCAAATAAGCCATTTTAAAGAATACATATTCGCAGGGCTAGAGCGAAGGCTCAGCGGTTAAGAACACTGGCGGTTCTTGCAGAAGACCCAGGTTTGAATCCCAGCACCCACACGGCAGGTAACAACTGTCCATAACTCCAGTTCCAGGGGATCCAACAGCCTCTTCTGTCCTCCACAGGCATTGCACAACATGGGTGCGCTTACCTACATGCAGACAATACACACATACACATAAAATAAAAATAATAACTAAAACATTTATTTTAAAAAGAATACATATTCTTCAATGCAAGAGAGCTCCTTGGCTTAGTAACTGCAACTTCTCAACCCCAAGAAGACAAGTGAAACAAACAAGGAATCTTTCCTATACAATGACCCATTGACAGATTCTATATGTACCACAGGAACACAGATTCGCAAAGTAATGAGGCATGCCTGGCAGAGTTAAAGGCCAGGGGATGGGGTGCTGGGTTGCAGCCTTAGAAGTTGAACACATACCTAAAGATTATCTTGGTCCACTTAAGGGAATTAAGAACTTGTATTTATTTTATTTTATATGTATGAGTATATTGCCTGCATGTAGGTAGGTGCACCCATCTCGAGCAACGGCCCAGGAGGTCAGAAGAGGGCATTGGATTCCCTGGAACTGGAGTTGCAGATGGTTGTCAGCTGCCATGTGGGTGCTGGGACTCAAACCTGGCTTCTCTGCAAGAACAGCCAGTTCTCTTAACCACTGAGCCATCTCTCCAGACCCAAGAACTTGAATTTTAAAGAATATATATAATATATATATTTTTATAATATATATTTGTTAAACTACATATATATGTTCCTGAACCCCATAGGATTTCCATTTTAAAATTTTGTCTTTATTAGTTTTGATTGTGTGTGTATATGGGGGTTTTCACACTTGTGTGCAGGTGCCTGCAGAGATCAGAGGTGTTGTATTTCCTTGGAGTTGGAGATACAGACAGTTTTGAACCACCTGAGGTGGGTTCTGGGAAGAAAAGTCAGGTCCTCTGCAGAGAGCAGTATACTCTTTTAACTGCTCAGCCATCTCTCCAGCCTGTGGTTTCCAGTTTTGAATGGTAACCAGAGCAAGAATAGAAAGATCTACAGTAAGTCCAGGCCTCATGACCCTGCAGGTTCAATTGTATCGTATGACTATTGGCCAGAAAGACTCCATCCAGTCTATAATTAGGCCACACAATCCTAGAGTTTTATTGCAGACTGGACAAACATATGAACGACACAAATTGAGAAAATCTACATTCATGAATTTAGGAAGTCATCTTTATTTTTTACTCTAGATGAGGTGAGTGAATGTGGTTGCTCTCAGCTCCTAAAGGCCATGCACATTCATCGTTACGTGGTGCCCTCCATTTTTAAGCCAGCAGTGACAAACTGAATCCTTGTGCTCTGAATCTTTCTGATTTCTTTTTCACTGACTTACGTATTCCTCAAACTTCACAGATGCCATTTGACTTGTTTGAGTGATTGTATGAGTTACGATTATTATTTTTAAGATTCTAATTAGTGTATATTTGATGTAATTTGTAATTACAGATTCATTATATTTTCATAGGTGAATATCATGTATTTTGCTGACATATATCCCCATTATTCCCAGCCATTTTTCATTTCTTCAAAACTAAATTGGTGTTACTGAGCAGTTTGATTTTCATATCTTTTTTTGAGGGCTTTAACAAAAGTTTCTACCAAAACTATCCATAATACCTGAATGTTAAATATCGTCAGAAAAAATTTTGTAATTTTAGTGTATTTTACTATTTAGGTAGGATGGAAATTTCCCAAATCATTACGTTCCACTTCATATGTGTTGAACTAATATTTCCTCAATTTATCTTTCCTCTCGCACTTTGAAATAAGCAACAAGAAATCAGGCCATATTCTAGAGCTTTATGTGCTATTTGCCTCAGTTGAAAGACCCAGTCTATCAAAGGTTCTGATTGCTATATAACTTAGGAGACAATTTCTCTTCACTTTATGCCATTACATTAAAATATCTCTGTTCTTCCAGTTTCAAGGAAAATGTTTCTCTATTCCTAATTACCTCTCACAAACACGGGCCTTATAGTGCATTTTTTAAAAGACAGGATCTTGATCTATAGCGCTGTCTGGCCTGAGACTTGCTGTGTAGACCAGGCTAACTTCAACTTATCATAATAGCCCTGCCACTGCCCTGAAAATTCTAGGATTACATACATGTACTATCACACTGGGGAAGGTATACAATCATATAATGGTAATCATGTTCCTCAAATTTCCTCCACCCTTATCATTTGTCACTTTTTCAAGCCAGTCTTAGATATTTGGTATTTTTAGTACTGAAATCTATATTAGTATCCTATTACTTTATAACAAATTACCTGAAATTTAGCAGCATAAAACTCATTTATTATCTAACAGTTCCATAGGTTATTTTGCACAACATAGGCCAGATTCCCTGATCATTATCTTACAAGTCTCAAATCAAGGTGCCAGCTGAACTGAGTTCCTATCTAGAGACTTGTTCATTCTCTCAAACTCATTCTTGCTGGCAAATCTAATTCCTTAGTAGATATGAGA